TACATTTGCATTGCTGTGGCTTTACTTACCATTTTTAAATTTTTTTTTTTTTGCTTTTTTACAGATTATGCCTTTTTAGTGCACCAGTCCATTTTAGTGGATCTGTCCACTAAAAGATTATATTTCACCTTTTAATGATCCTGGAGAACTTTTTTTTAAAAGCTTTTATTTTTTTTCCTAGTATTATTGGGGAGATCTGAACACTTTTTTTTTTTTGTTTTTATTTTTTTTGCAGCTGAAAACATGAAGGTGTCTCACTTTGTTTGAATTTTCATTTATACTACGGAGAAAGCATTTAGTACTTTTTTTTTATATTATTTTTTTTATTTTTTTGAATGTGCAAAGGAATGCTCAAAACACCAAGGTGGACTGTAGTGGGTTTTTATGGCATGGAGGTCTTCCTTTTTGGGGTTTTTTTTTTTTTTTTTTTGTTTTTTTTTTTTTCTTTTTTTTTTTTTTTTTTTTCAACCTATTAAAAAAAAAAAAAAAAATGTTTTTGAGTGGGCTGGCCACTTTTTTTTTTTTTTAGGACCTTTTTTTTTTTTTTTTTAAAGATATCTTTGGTTTTTTTTTTTTTTTTTTTGTTTTTTGTTTTGGAGCAGCTCATGATCCAAAGCACACAGTGTGTTTTTTGTAAAACATAGTGGAGGCAGTGTTTTTTTTGGGCATGCATTTCCAGTTTTTTTGGGGTCATTGGGGTTTATTTTTGATATGACAGAAGACAATTTTTTTTTGAATTCTTTTTTTTATAGATATCTAAATCTCTAGAGATATTTGTCAGCCCAGATTCAGCTTTTTTTTTTTGATTGGATGGCGCTTCCCAGTACAGATGGACAATGATCCAAAACACACCGCAAAAGCAATTTTTTGAAGGAAAAAGAAGTTGAATATTCTTTTTTTTTTTTTTTTTTTTTTTGATCTCAACCCAATTTTTTTTGCATTTTTTTTTTTTTTTTTTTTAAAGGCACAAAGACCCACAAACAAAGAACAACTTTTTTTTTTTGCAGTTTTTTTTTTTTTTTTTTTTTTTTTTTTTTTTTTTTTTTCTTTGGTAATGTTTTGGGTTCCAGACTTTTGTTTTTTCATTGCCAGTTTTTTATTTTTTTTTTTTTTATTAAAAATGTAACATTTTTTTTTTGATTATATTCATTTGTCCAATTACATTTTTTTTTTTTTTTTGGAGGGGACTGTTTTTAAAAATGGTTTTTTTTTCCTTTTTTTTGTACTTTTTTTTTTTTTTTTTTTTGAATTTTTTTTTTTTTTCTGCACTTTTTTTTTTTTTAGATTGTTTCGTTTTTTTTTATTTTTTTGGCATTTTTTTTTTTATTTTTTTTGTTTTTTTGTTTTTTTATAAATGGACCTAACTCTATTTTTTCTTTAACTTTTTTTTTTGAAAAATCTCATTTTTTTTTTGCTGCAGACGCTTTTTATGTATATTCTGAGAGCAAGACCCTTTTTTTTGTCAGAAAAAAAAAAGATCGGTTTTTTTTTTTTTGGCATTTTTTTTTTTTCCGCAATGGTTAACAGTTTTTTTTTTTTTTTTTTAATTCGACAACAATTTTTTTTTTTATTTTTTTTTTTTTTTTTATTTTTTTTTTTTTTTTTTTTTTTTAAACTTTCAGATGTTAATGTCTCTCAGCATGCAATTTTTTTTTTTTTTTGACTACCTTTTTTTTTTTTTTATGTTTTTTGTGTACCCTAGATTGTGCCGTGCTGTTTTACTAATTTAGTTATAGTAGCAACAGAAGCTTTTCCTTAAGGCAGAGACCAGGTTGGCCAGGACAGAAGGGACAAAAAAAACGCTTTTTTTTTACAGACACATTTTTTTTTTAGGGTGTCCTTTTTTTTTTTTTTTTGGGTTTTACCGAGAATGACATTGGGAAAATGCCTTCGTGCATTTTTTTTTTTAACTTTTTTTTTCTTTTTTTTTTTTTTTTTTTGGGGTTTTGGGCCACAGCACCTTCTGGATACAATTTTTTTTGATTTCTTCCTTTTTTTTTAGGAAGGATCCACTTCGTCCAGTTGCTTTGTTTTTTTTTTTTTTTTTTTTTTTTTTATATGGAGCCAATTGAAATAAACAGATTTTTTTTTGTTTTTTTCTGGCTTTATGGGAAACTTTTTTTTTTTTTGTTTTGCAAGCAATTCATCGTTTTTTTTTTTTTTCCCCCCAAGAATGCTGACAAGAGACTCTTTTTTTTTTTTGGGGCCACTGTTTTTTTTATCATTGCACAAATCAGGTAAATATACCAAGTTTTTTTTTTCGTAAAAAAAATTATCCTTTATTTTTTTTTTTTTTTATTAACACCCTAATTCAGTCATGCAGGCCTTTTTTTTAAATTGGATGCTGTTTCCAGGTTTTTTTTTTTTTTTTTATTTTACATACACTATGCCCTTTTTTGCTTTTTTTTTGACTTTTTTTTTAAAAGTTTTTGATTTTTAACACAGCCCCTCCCACTTTGTGTATCATAGCCCTTTTGCCATTTTTTTTTTTTTTTTTTTTTTTTTTTTTTTTTCTGTTTGACCCAGCTCATCCATTCTCCCCTCACCTCTTTACATTTTTTTTTTTTTTTATGTAGCTTTTTTTTTTTTTTTTTTGAGTGTCACTTGAGTCTGTGATATTACATTTTTTAGATGTAGCACAGACCCTTGACTGGTCCCATTGTTTTTTTTCCAGCTTCTATTCCTTTTTTTTTTTTTAGGTACACAACACTTTTTTTTTTTTTTTTTTTTTTTTTTTTTGGATATCTTTTCTTAAATTTTTTTTGTGTAGGTTTTTTTTTTTTGAATGGGGGGCAAGGAGAGCTCTTTTCATGGAGGTTTTTTTTTTTTTTTTTTTTTTTTTTTTTTTTTTTTTTAGCACAGCGACTTCCAGTGGGAAAGTTTTTTTTTTTTAGCAGTTTTTTTTTTTTCACACAATTTTTTTTTTAAACAGCAGAAAGTCACTAGGATCCCACTTCCAAGCCTCTACTCGCTTTTTATTCCAGATAATTGAATACCTTTTGTCCAATACTGCTTAGACACTTTGATGTGAATCACCAGGTTTTCAGTTTTTTTTTCTTTTTGACTTAAAACTGCTTCCAGGAAAACTATTTTCCTTTTTTTTGAGCTGGGAACTCAATTTTTTTTTGCAAGCTTCAGCTTTTTGCCTTTTTTTTTTTTTTTCCAGGCTGGAATATTCCTTCAGTACAAGAACCCTGCTTCTCCAGGGTTTTTTTTATTTGTCTCCTTCTTTTTTTTTTTGGGCACTCCGCTTCCAGGGACTGGCAGAGACCACAGGGAAGGTAGGGAGAAGTAGCTGAGTCTTTTTGTGAGACCCAGAAACAGACAATTTTAATTTTTTTTTTTCTTTTTTTTGTTTACACAGGATTTTTTTTTTTTACATTTTTTTTTTTCTTTAGGAATCTTTTTTTTTTATTTTTTTTGCTTTTTTTTTTTTTTTTTTAAGACCAAAGGAAGGGTTTTTTTTTTTTTAGGGAAAATTTGAGAAATATTGTTTTTGCATCTTTTTTTTTTTTTTTTTTTTGCTTTTTTTTTGGCTTTTTTTTCACTACTCACTTATCATTTTTTTAATATGCAGATCAGTAATTCTTTTTTTTACTCCATACATTTGCATTGTTTTTCTTTTTTTTTTTTTTATTTTTTTTTTTTGAAGGTTTGCAGCAAGCCTTTACAGGATTGTGGTTTTTTTTTTTCAATATTTCACATATTACAGATTTCCATTTTTTTTCATTTTTTTTTTATTTTTTTTTGAATTTTTTTGCAGGCATTTTTTTCTCTGGTGTTTTTTTTTTAGTTTTTTTTTTTTTTTTTTTTTTTTTTTAATGACATCGTTTTTTTTTTTTTTTTCAGGGTCGCAATATCAGCCAGCATTTTTTTTTTTTTTTTTTTTTTTTACTTTTTTTTTTTTAAACGGATTATTACACAGATTATTTTTTTTGCATTTTTGTTTTTTTGAATTTATTTTTGATTTTTGATTTGTTTTTTTTTTTTTTTTATTTTTTACTTTTTTCTTAGGAATTTTTTGTTTTTTTTTGTTGGCAGATATTTTTCACTCATTTGGGAGAGTTTTTTAAAGAGGGTCATTTTTTTCTTGTAGTACTCGGTTTTTTTTTTGCAACAAATGTCAGAACATGCAACAAATTTTTGTTTTTTGTTTTTTTTTTTTATTTTTTTTTTTTTTTTTTTTTTTTTTTTTTTTTTTTTTTTTTTTTTTATGTGACAGGTGGTATAAATAAGGCAGGGCTGGAGCAAGAAGCTGCTTGTAGCCTGGGACTCAGAGCCATTCCTGAGTGAGCTGTGCATGAAGGTGTGCGTTATAGCAAGAAGGAAAAGGTTGCTTATTGTTTTGTTTTTGGGTGACGGAGAAGCCCTTCACCTGTGAGAGAGGAAAAATCCTATGTTTAGTTAGTGCCTGGATGGCGAGGGTTTATTTTGCTGTTTTATTTAAAAAGGTTTGCAAAATATCAAAACAATGAAAACTGACAACCAGTCAGATTTTGAAGAAAAACCTGCTGTGCGGCCTACCTTTTTTCCCCAGGGAAGGTGATCTCCACCTGAGCTAACCCCACAATATACACACACACTATATTGCCAAAAGTACTGGGAAACCTGCCTTTGCACACACATGAACTTTAATGGCATCCTAGTCTTAGTCCCTAGGGTTCAATATTGAGCTGACCCACCCTTTGAAGCTATAACAGCTTCAACTCTTCAGGGAAGGCTGTCCACAAGGTTTATGAGTATGTCTATTGGAATTTTTCCAGAAGCGCATTTGTGAGGTCAGGCACTGATGTTGGATTAGAGCCTGGCTCGTAGTCTCCACTCTAATTCATACCAAAGGTTTCTATGGGGTTGAGTTCAGGACTCTGTGCAGGCCAGTCAAGTTCCTTCACCCCAAACTCGCTCATCCATGTCTTTACGGACCTTGCTTTGTTTACTGGTGCACAGTCATGATGGAACAGAAAGGGGCCATCCCCAAACTGTTCCCACAAAGTTGGGAGCATGAAATTGTCCAAAATGTCTTGGTATGCTGCCGCCTTCACTGGAAATCGAGGACCAAGCTCTACCCCTGAAAAACAATCCCAAACCATAATCCCCCTCCACCAAACTTTACACTTGGCACAATGCAGTCAGGCAAGTACCATTCTCCTGGCAACCGCTAAACCCAGACACGTCCATCGGATTACCAGACAGAGAAGTGTGATTCATCACTCCAGAGACCACATTTTCAGTGCTCTAGAGTCCAGTGGCGGTTTGCTTTACACCACTGCATCCGATGCTTTGCATTACACTTGGTCATGTAAGGCTTGGATGCAGCTATTCAGTCATGGAAACCCATTCCATAAAGTTCTCTATGCGCTGTTGTGCTAAGCTGAAGGGCACATGAAGTTTAGAGGTCTTTTAGCTATTGACTCTGCAAACAGTTGGCAACTTCTGCACACTGTGCACTTCAGAATGCGCTGACCCCGCTCTGTCATTTTACGTGGCCTACCACTTTGTGGCTGAGTTGTTGTTGTTCCCAGATGCTTTCACTTTGTTATAATACCACTAACAGTTGACAGTGGAATATATTTAGTAGCAAGGAAATTTCATGGATGGACTTATTGCACAGGTAGCAAACTATCATGGTACCACGCTTGAATTCACTGAGCTCCTGAGAGCGACCCATTCTATCACAAATTTTTGTAGAAGCAGCCTGCATGCCTAGGTGCTTGATTTTATACTCCTGTTGCCATGGAAGTGATTGGAACACCTGAATCCAATGATTTGAAGGGGGGTGTCCCAATACTTTTGGCAATACAGTATAAATGAAGAAAAAAAAAAATATATATATATATATTCACATCAGTCTAAACTATTTTTAAGGGCCCGGTAGACTGCTTTTTATTAAACAGAACCCCATTTCTTGGCCCTCTGGTTGCCACAGCTCTCTAGGTCCTTTGTTTTCCTGCTGAGCTGTCCCAACTCTCCTAGTCCCATGGGTAAACGAATCTCTCCAACATGGAGTCTTGTCTCCCCAGTAGGTCACCTCTTCTGGCTGGAGCACTATGTATTTGAACGGCAGCAGCTGCACTGAGCTATCTTTAGGCCTGGCTTATAACGATCCTGCACACCTGTGCTCTAACACAGGCTGCAGGAGTCAAGCAAGGCCTGGACACAGCATTGAAGGCTTTGCCCAAGACATTTTGGAACCTTCATACTCCAGACCCTGATCTGCAACTACAAAATCTATTGAAAAGGCTATGCTCTATGTTTTCTCTAAACATGCCAGAACTTCTCAAACTGCAGTTCTGAGAATCCTATGTCCTTTTTATACCAATTTGCTAAACACATACAAAGGTAAGGGGCTTGCAGTGTCACTATAATTATATATATATATATATATAAAAATAATTAATGACTGTATAACTTTGGAAAAACAAGTATGTGTGATTAAGACCTGTCAGTTCTCCAGGCAGACCCCCCCCCCCCCTCCATTAATGGCCTCAGCCCTCTCAATTAATTTCCTCAACCCCCCTCCATTAATGCTCTCATCTCCCACATTAATGTCCTCAGCACCCCATAAATGTCCTCAGCCTCCTCTCTATTAATGACTTCACCCCCCCCCCATTAATGTCCTAAGCCTCCCCTCCATTAATGACCTCAGGCTTTTCCCTCCATTAATGCCCTCAGCTCTCCCATTAATGTCCTCAGCCCCCCTCCATTAACATCCTAGCAGGGGCAGACTGACAACTCATGGGGCCCCTGGGCAATAGGGGATCATGGGCCCCCTGTGTCCTTGCCCAAACTCAAAAAAGCCTATGAAAAAGGTACTAGGGGCATCTCATGGGGCCCCCTACTGACCCCGGGCCCTCGGGCAGTGCCTGAGTTTCTAGATGGTCAGGCCGCCCCTGCATCCTAGTTCCCCCATTAACCACTTGCCAACTGCGCTATAGCTGAATGATGGCTACAGCGCGGATGTCCAGGTTTGGGAGGGAATCATATGATGTCCTCACAGTATGTGCTCTCCCGCAATGCCCCCGGCGATCCCCATGATTGCTGTGTCCTACGGACACAGCTGATCACGTGATGTGGTAAAAGGCCAATCACAGTGGCGTTTTACCATGTGATCAGCTGTGTCCAATGACACCGCAGATCACTGATAAATGCAGTTGCCGGTTATCAGCTGCCCTTTCGTCACACTGTTACAGTGAGAGGAAAGTACTGCCAATACCTGGCAATTGTCAGAGGATGGATCGGCACTGATCATCAGGGCACTGATCATCAGTACCCTGATGATCAGTGCCCATTAGTGCCTCCCACAAGTGCCCAGCAGTGCCGCCCTCCTGAGCCCAGCAGTGCCGCCAGTCATTGCTGTCAGTCAGTGCTGCCTATTAGTGCCACCTCATCAGTGCTGCCCGTCAGTGCCACCGATCGGTGCTGCCTATCAGTGACCTTCAATGCTGCCTATCAGTGCAGCCTTATCAACACACATCAGTGAAAGAGGAAAAATTACCTGTTTGCTAAATTTTATAATGGAAACAAAGAAACACTTTTTTTTTTTTTTTCAAATTTCTTGCTTTTTTTTTTGTTTATAGCGCAAAAAAAAAAAAACAACCACAAAAAGAAAGCTCTATTTGTGTGAAAATTATAAAAATTACATATTTTACCATAAAAATTACATAGGGTACAGTGTTGCATGACCGCGCATTTGTTATTCAAAGTGCGACAGCGCTGAAAACTGGCCTGGGCATGAAGGGGGTAGAAGTGCCCAGTAGGCAAGTGGTTAATGTCCTCAGCCCCCCTCCTTTAACTTCCTCAGCCCCCCTTCCCTCCTCCATTAATGACCACAGCCCACCCTCCATTAATGTCTTTAGCCCCTCCATGAATGTTCTCAGCCCCCCTTCATGAATGTCCTCAGCCCCCCTTATAATGAATGTCCTCACCCCCCCCCCCTCCCCCTTTAATATCCTCAGCCTCCCTTCCCCAATGAATGTCCTCAGCATTAATATCCTTATCCCTGGCTCTATTAATGACCTCAGCCCCCCCCCCTTCCTTAACATCCTAACCCCCCCAACAATAATTGTCCTCAGCCCCCCTTCCTCCAATAAAGACCCCAGCTCCCCCCCCCACCCATCTTACCTTACTGAGTGCCGAGGGCGGGAGGCACAGCAAGTCTGAACAGAGGGCTGAGCGGTACAAGCTGCAAGCTGGTGATTGATTGCTAGGATCGCCTTGCATCCCAACAGCCAGTCACATGCTTGTTAACACGGGAAGCCCCCACCCTCAGTGCAGAGCCCTCCTGGCTCCCGCAGGCGGCTCTGAGAGAATGGCGGCAGCAGCTCCTAAGCAGCTGGCCAAGATGCGTGGCATAAAATATTAATATGATGGGGAAGCCATATGAGCCCCATGGAACAGGGGCAGGGTCGCAAGCATGACCCCTGAGACCCCTGACACCCCTGACACTACGCTAGTGCCTATAATCCATCTACTCTGCTCCAATCAGTGGACAGATCCCCTGCTGATCTAAACATAGCCCTCTCCATGTGAAAGAGGCCTAACACTGAGGCCCCTTTCCCTGGAAGAGTTCAGTCAGGTCGGCCTGTCAGTTTTTCATGTGGAACTTATCAGACTCTCCATTCACCTCTATGGACTGGAGGGTATAAATGGACTTGTGTGTGGGGTTTGTACTGTCCACTGTTAACACTTTCCTGGGAAGACCAGAAGTTCAGGGAAGCACCACTAAGAATGCAGGAGCCAGCAGCATTGAAAGTGGTAAATTGCAAGTTCTGGGATAAGAATGGGGTAAGAATGTTAACAAATTTACTGTTGAATGTGTTAAACTAAAAAATAGGTGAAGGTTTACGATTACTTTAAAGTTACATTTTGACTAGAGGACCCCTTAATATATATTAGATCTCTGGAGCTCCCTTGTTCTTTTGTACTTGTAAGAAACCTATGTTATCTTATGTTTTTTTTAATCTGTAGAGGTTATGGTTTTGTTTTAATGTAATTCATAACAGTGACTACAAACTGCCAGGCTATAGCAGTACAGTGATGCATTAAGGCAATAATTAAGGCATGTATTATTCATTAACTTTTCAAGTGCTTGAAAAATGTCGAAACTCAGACACATTACTAGTGACAATATTTTTCATGGTTATTGCTAGGTCATGATGCAAACAAGAGTAAAGATATTGAAAATTGTGTTTTTTGTAGGCACACTTGAGCTGTATGTGCATTTGTGGGCTGAAACTATGTGCCAACTGGCATTTACCTTTAAGAACAGGCACCTCAAATACCTGCACATCCTGAAGGATCTCCTGTAAGGGACCCACTGCAGCAAAAACCAGGGCGTTGCAAGCAGAAAATACTTGCCACCTCTCTATTCACTGGCTCTTGTCTGTAGTGGAAGTAAAAATGCAGCTGCCAGAACCAGCAACCAAAAATGTGGTCCTTATTATAACATCCTTAAAAATCTAACCCACAGGTTTGCTATAAAATAATATCTGGACATGATAGAGAAGTCCAAATATTAACTTTTCAGATTCCCATATTTGTCATAACTACCAGATAAAGATTAATAATATATGACTTAAAGGTAGATCACCCTGCTAAGCAGCATATGTGTGCAAATAGAAGTTAATTTGAAAGGACCTATGCCCTCCTGCCTCCTTATATTTGATGGGCAGGCACAGTAATACATTGAGTAAGAGAGGCAGAGGGAGACAGGAGGAACCTTCAACCAAAATTGGTATTTGCAAAATGATTCAAGTTTTTGACTTGAGAGAATAGTAAAAGGTATGTACAAGCACAAAGACTTTATATCCCTACACTTTGTGTTTAAAATAAAGAGGTAGCGTTAGAAACTCTTTAAAGTTTTGTCCCCACTGCTCAATTTTTCTTCTGGTGACAATGCGTCAAGCTAGATGTGTCATACTGTCACCACAACGTTGACTAAAAGGAATCATTCAGAGACAGTCAGCAATAACAACCTAATGGAGAGCCCAATCCTGCCTCTCTTTATTTAAAACTACAAAAAACAGTAGCTAATCTTCAGCTGAAAGTAGTAATAAATGCTGCATTTTTATTAATCCACACTGGAGAAAAAGGGAAACATTTTGCAGTACATTTGTTAATTAATATTTAGAAATATGGAAAGCGCCACTAGGAACAATACTAAGAAAAATTTGTATGAAAATTATATCAGATGAGAACTATATACTAGACAGAACAGCTTATCTCACCCTTGAAGGACAAGGTGCATATCAAACAATCACTAAAGACAGTGCTCCTCAAAAATAATATGCAAGTATGCGAACTCAGCAGAATAATATTGGTGCACAAAATAAAATAGTATATATTAAGACACTACATAAACCCACGCAGAGCAAGTGAAACAGAAAAAAGGGACTATTAACTCTGTGAATGCACAAATAAATGTCCAATGAAAATGCCCACATAAATAATAGTGTTCATAAAAATATTAGTGAATCAATAAATCTTCTTCAGTAATTATTATAATAAACTTCTGTGTAATATTACCCAAAAAACACCATGAGAATTTACCACCGAATGAAATGAATACACTCACCAGAGCTTCATGCTGGTAAAATTATAAACCAGCTTCAAACGCTTAAGCTCTGGGAGAAATGATCTGCAGAGGCACACTCCAGCTGATTGAAACTCCTTCAAATGACAATTGACTCTTCATATACTCAG